ATGACACAGTAATGTTATTTCAGCTTTTTAATTTTAACTTTTAAAAAAATATTTTCAGCATCACTTTATGCACGTGAAAAGATTGACCTTTATTGTGCTATTTTAAGTTTAGTTTTGAGTAGTTATTTGATCTTTAGAAATTTTGGTTAATGATGCTAGGGATTGGTATAACATGAGATAAAAGCTAAAGTTTCTAAATTTCGTCATGATTGGTTGTCACTTCAAGTGACTGACTCATGAATTATATGTTATATTAATGTGTTTGTTGGCTGTATTTTTTAACTAGGACCGCTTATGTGTGAGTTGTTGGAGTAGTATTATTATATTTACACGCATAAATATTGTAGGGCATCTATTTTTCAAATGTAACTGCATTTGAGTTTCTTCATAGTTGCTGGCTGTAGAAATCAGTTTGTATAAAAATAAAATTGAGATCAAACAACATTAAGGAATTGTGACTTAAATTACAATGTAAAGCAACATATTGCTCTATCCATTATTTCACGAATTTAATCAATTTAAATTACTTATAGTTTGAAACCTCAAATAATGTTTTTGTTATTTTTCGAAGGTGTTTTCCGCCCTTTCAAAATTGTTATAATTGAAGCCCTTTTATTCCATTGCTATTTTTACCGCTTTTAAAACTAAAGACGGATGGGTGTTCCGAAGTGGGCAATGTAAAAAGAGCGAGGTCGTGCTTGGCACGAGGTACATAAGCTAGTGATTATTTGAAACAGAAAAAACTGAAAACATCTCGTCCTGAAAAAAATAAAGAATTTCACATAGCGTAAAATTAACAGAATCGCGCCATAAAGAAGCACAAGAAAACTCTTGTCCCTCTCATCTTCTGGCTCCTGCTCCATAAGTTCACATTTCTAGGAGTAACAAAACATTACAACGTTGATTTTTTTAATTGGATAGGATCTAATTAACTTGTGACGCGGTGATCTTTTCTCAAAAGTAGTGATCAATATCGCATAACGGCCAACTTAAAACTAGTACTTACATGGTAACATGATTCTTGGCGACCGCAGAGCGTGTCAGATTCTTGGACCAATTTTCAAAGGTTGTCTTATGTTAATTCATTAACTGCTCGGGCCGACGGTGTGATAATTGAAGGCAGAATTCCGATACATTCAATGCAACGCGATCGCACGTCCCGTCGAGGGTTCGATATTGTCATCCTCTTTAGTACCGACTTAGCAAAATGATGACACGGAGTATTCCTTGTGTGAAATTTTCCGATCTCTACCCTCTAAACCATCCGAAAGGCTTGTCTCCATGGATAAACAGGGGCAGAGAACTTCCTTTTTCCAAGGCTGAAAACATTTTAAACTCACAATTATAAACATTAAATGACTAACAACTTCAAGGACAGGCTAATGAATTAATGTATCATAGAACCCATGAGGAGGGCTTGGTCTTCATACACTTCCATTACATAAAAGCACTCACGAACGCAATTCAAAAAATTTACTGCATAAGCGAAAACACAAATTTATATCCAAGCAACTGAAGCCTGTAATTTCTCAAGAAGCCAATATGGGTTTCAATACAATCTGCGTGATTCACATGAAAGTAAACAATATTTTCACAGTTCAATGCTCCAAAAACTCAATAATTAAAAAAGCCCACACATATAAATATGACCGAGGCAAATTATACACAAACAAAGGAAATTTTCATATGGGTTTTCATACAGGTCTCTAGATGGCACATAAATAGTAAACATTATTTTCAGCACGGTTTCATGGTTGCGAACAAGCTCAAACTCAAGATAAACCGCACATGAAGTATGACCTAAATTAATTATATCACAAACAAAAAATTTTAACATGGTTTTCATACAGTCTTTAGATACATAAAAGGTAAACAGTATTGCAAAGTTATGTTCCAAAAAGCACAAAATTCAAAGACAGTCCATAAATAAAGATATGATGCCAATTAAATTTAGAGCTTACCGCAAGCCACTGCTGTACCCATCCCATATGTCAATGAAACGGGCCAACCCCATCCAACTCGCGTCAGACTAGACTATAATTCGATAAAACCAATATATAAAAGGGAATGGAATCAAAATTAGGATAAGTTAAATTAATTTAAAGAACCATTGAGTTAAACTCACTCAAAATCAACTCGAGTTGAAGAGATGACCTCGATGGGGCTTAGAGGTAGGGAATGGTTGCCCCCCGAGGTGACAAAATATCGAATCAACACTGTCTTCTAACGCCACGGGTGCCACATGACGGGAGATGTCGATCGTCATTCTTCTTGATTTTCGATTCTTTGTTGGGGGAGGACGGCTGGCAATTGGTGTCGTAATCTTTGCCTCCTGCTCCCAGTTTCAAATTTCTCGTAAAAAACAATACAATTTAATTTTTTAATCGCAGTACTAAATTAACTCGATGACCGTGGTGATCTCTCAAAAGCAACGGAGTAATATTGAATAAAACCCAACTTTAAAAAATAATACTTACATGGTAAACCAAGATCTGGGCGACCAAACGGTGTGCAGATTCCTCGGCAATTCCTTCAATCAGGGTGGTCTTATGTTTGAATCATCTGCTCAGCGAGCTGTGATAATTTGCACAGGGCATGCAGTCCGAGATGTTCAACAAAATCTCGAGTCGCACGTCCGGGCTAATAGTATCAATATTGTCATCGGCTTTATACCGACTAGTCAAAATGAGCGACACGAGTATTCCTGTGCGAATTTTATGAGTTATCTGCCTCTAACATCCGAAAGGCTCGTCTCCATTGGTTCAACAGCAGAACTCTTTTTGCAGACCGGAAAACAATTTAAAATCTCATTAAAAAATAAAGGAATTAACATTCATATGTATTTACCTAAATGATAATGTACCAAGAACCCCACGTGGAGGCGTGGTCGTCATATGCTCTTCCATACATAAAAGCACTACCGAATGCAATCAAAAGTTCACATCATAACGCTAAAACCCAAATATTATCCAAAGAAACTGAAGTCTATAAAGTTCTCAAGAAGCCCATTGGGTTTTCACTACAATCCGAGATCACATGAAATAAACAAATATTTCAAGTTCGATGCTCTAAAAACTCACACCAATTCAAGAAGCCTCACACAAAATATGACCCAAATTATACACAAACAAGAAATTTTCATATGGGTTTTCGATACACTCTCTAACTCACTAAAAGTAAACATTATTTTCACAGTGCACGGTTATGAACACTCAAAACTCAAAGGAAAAACCATTTCTTCATTCCTATTTATGAGTGAAATATGTCAGTGGAAGTGGGCTCTACAATCAATTACTGTAACATAAAAAGTAATTCTTGTATCCTCCCATTTGTATAGAGGAATGGATATGACTTGTAGTGGCTTGCTTGTCGGTGTGAATTTTAATCAACCAAGTTAATTCTACTTGAACTGTGTTTGTTTGCATTAAATATCGAGATTTGCGATCCTGAAACCCCTCTACCCCCTCTCGCTCACTCTCACTTTAATTAGGGACTAGAATTATAATTAGGAATTTAATTGATTTGATAAAGACAAGAAAACATTTTTTTGTATGGAGTTGCTTTGTATTCATCTCTGATTGAGTCCTTTTGATTTTGGTGGTGGTCTTTGAGTGCACAATTAATTAGTTTGTACGTCAATGGTAATAGAAAATAAAGCTTTCTTTCTTTTTTTGGGTGGGTGGGGGGGCGCGGGGCGGGGATGGACTAACAATGCCTAATCCCAATTGTCTAACCTGTGACTGTGCTAACCAACAAGTTCTTTTAAAGTCACCGAAGGCACCATTAACATATAAATTAACTCCAATCTAACTCTATCTATTTCCAAATAATGCTTTTTGATGACCTCTCTCCATAGACGCATCTTTCATAATTTAAATATCCACAGTTAAACGTCAGAAACTTGAACAAAACCGCATTCTACCATTTTTCTGCCCTTTTTGTGTATCAGCAGTTACAAGAAAGACTCACGGGAAAAAAAGAAAATGAGAAAAAAAACTGATATTCCAATATAACACTAGTATGTACCCCGTGCAAAGCACATCGGCTTATTTTTTCTATCATTGTATTTTAAATTTTTGTCTCTCTAAGTTTTAATACATTTAATTTGATTATTGTATACTTAAAATAAAAAATTATAAATCTTATAAAAATATGTTACAAAAAATATTGTCATCTGATGCTTGTACATTCTTGCTCTAAAGAATATAAGGTCAACTCTAAATTTCCTAGTTTAAGAATATAAAATTTAATATATTACTAAATTAGCCGAATATCTCTTTCTAAAGTTTTGTCAATGGCAAAATTTTGCAACCAATTACTATTCAAGAGGTTAATTTATTTTCTATCTCGAGAGAGAGTTGTTTTGGAAAAGTAAAGTAGCTTAAATTGGTATTGATATTATCTAATTCTTCATCTTCCATTTTTCTTGTTCTACAAAAGAAAGTAAGTCTTTATATTTATAAATTCTCTTTTAAGTTGAAATTCCTATGCAATTTATTAATAGTTATTTGTGAACTTGTCCCTTTCTTTCGGAAAGAAGGGACAAGTTCACAAATAACTATTAATAAATTGCATAGAATTTCAACTTAAAAGAGAATTTATAAATATAAAGACTTACTTTCTTTTGTAGAACAAGAAAAATGGGAAGAATGAAGAATTAGATAATATCAATACCAATTTAAGCTACTTTACTTTTCCAAAACAACTCTCTCTCGAGATTAGAAAAATAAATTAACTCTTGAATAGTAATTGGTTGCAAAATTTTGCCATTGACAAAACTTTAGAAAGAGATATTCGGCTAACTTTAGTAATATATTAAATTTTATATTCTTAAACTAGGAAATTTAGAGTTGACTTATATTCTTTAGAGCAAGAATTACAACATCAGATGACAATATTTTTTGTAACATATTTTTATAAGATTAATATATTTTTATTTTAAGTATAGCTTATTAAATTTGTGCCCACAACTATCAAAACAAATTCATCCCCTCCCTCTCCCCCAAATTCATCCCCTCTCCCCCCCTCCTCTTCCTCATTGTTGTCATCAACATCCTCCTCTCCCATCACTCTCCCCACCCGTAGAAAGCCAGGTACAGCTGGGTGAAGATGGCGTCGTTGAGCCCAACGAAGCCTTTGAGGAGGCCGAGGACGATCCCTCGACTCTCAGGGAAGTTCTTGACGCAGGTGACCAGGGCTCCGGTGTTGGAGAACGACTGGGAGTTGGCCCCGATGCAGATGTAGACGTACATCTGACAGACGACGGGGCGAGATATGTGGCCGGTGATGGCGAGGTAGATCATGAGGTAGCCGAAGAGGTTCATGGCGGAGCCGATCGAGAGAACGACCCAGGGAGGTGTGACCTCGTTGATGAGGCCGGAGAGGACGCCCACGTTGCTGCCGAGGTCCTTAAAGAAGCTGAGGGTGTTGAGGGTCTGTTGGTTGTAGTGGAGGGAGGACTTTATGTCCTTGGAGTAGATGCTGAAGATGTAGGTGGCGCCGGATGCCGACAATATGAACAAGCAAGTGAAGACCATGAAGAGGCGGCCTCAGACGACTTGGGCGGCGAAGGCCAGGGTCTCGGCCGCCAGGCCACGGCTGCTGTTTACTCCGGTGACAACCATGGCCGGTTTGCTCTTGCTTACTGGCTGGCTGGCTAGTACTGTGTGTGGGGATAGAAGGGAGCTCAGGGAGAGGGTTCATAATCCATCTCTCTTTGGCATTTCATTGAGCACCAACAGTGCATCCCCAAACCTGCCACATTTACCATATAACTCAATGAGCTTCATTTTCACAAGCCTGTCAAGCGCAAAACCATATTTTATGACCTGGTTATGTATCTGTTTTACTTCACTTAGGGAGAGACTTCTATGATAGAAGTTAGCTAATAGAGGAGGAGGGGAGGGTGGGGAGAGGGATGGAGTTGGAGGGGGAAGGGGAGGAGGAGGAGGAGGACGTTGACGACGGCGATGAGGAAGAGGGAGGGGATGAATTTGTTTTGATAGTTGTGGGCACAAATTTAATAATTTTGGGAGACAAGGGGTTTAAAACAAAATTTCTCGCCGGAGTTTTGAGAAAAGTGCCTTATTGACAAAAAGGACGAGCTTTAATGCATTGTCGTCGCCGGAGTTTTTTAAAATACCAAACTGGCAAAAGCGTTCGTATAAATATACCAATTTGGTATTTTAGCCGTTTTTTATGTGATCATGCTGATTTCGAGCTTGTTTAGCTCTGTACTTTGTATAAATAGGTTCAATTATGAGCTCTGTTTGAGCTGGTGTTGCTGTTTTTGTTATACTCAAGCTGATTTCGAGCTTGTTTAGCTCTATGTTGTGTGGAATAGGTGCTATTTTTGATATTTTGATGCTGATTTCAATCTTGTTTAGCTCTATTTTGTGATACTTTTAGTTTAGTTTATTGCTCTATTTTTGATGTGATCATGCTTTATAATTTTAATTGTAAAATAATAATATGTAATTAAAACTAAGAGGAGGGGTGTTCCAAGTGCAATGGTAGAAAAGAGGCAAGGGCCGTGCTTTGCACGGGGTGCTAAAATTCAGTCTATCTCCTTAGTTAGCGACTACATGAATATGTAACTAATACCAGTTATAACATGTTTGCTATGGCAAATTTCATAAAAATACCCTTGTTATGTGTCAGAAGTATCCTCACAGAGATATATCACATATTGATGTTAAAATGTTTTCTAGGTGTACCTCTTCAAATGCCCAGTCATCTTGTTGGTCATGGGAATCACCAGCCTTCGGAGACCATATGAAGTCTTCTATCATACCAGTAAACATGTTTATCTTATCTCCCAATACAGCTAACTCCCTCCATCCTCTCTGCCCCACGCATCATCTCCTCCATTCTGAAACAAAGACAAATAAACGCATGCATGACATGCATTTTAGCTTTGAACAACCAAAAATTCTCCTTTGATGTAGCTACTGAATGAGGCATAACATTGTTCCAAGTTATTAAAAAAGTGGAAATGAAAACCAAAAGTAAAAATGGAATACCTGAAGAAAGATTTTTGGATAGAAACACCTAAATCACCAGCTGAAGAAGCTTCATTCTTGAGCACCTGAGTGTGCAGATATTTTGCGCAGAACTTGGCAACTACTTTTCCTGAAAACACAAAAGATATAAGGTAAGGCCCATGCTATCCCGATTTAGCAAACCACAGTATGGACATTTGAAAATATAATCAGATCACCTCATTTACTTTGAATGCTAAGGTTCAAGCATGCCAACATGAAAATGACAGCTAAATAGAACATTTTATAACATCAGCTTTTCAAAGCCTCTTTTTGCCAAAGCAAACCGAGCAAGACATTTCATAACCTCTTTTCTCAATCAAGCAAGACTTTTCCTTAGCTTCTACGCTAAAAACTGAATTATGAAATTTAAACCAAATGGATATTGAAGCATTAGGCAATAGGAAATGATTCACAGTTGAACATGAGAAAAATACCAAATTCATATAATATCATGTTATACTCAGAAGCTACATAGTTAGATATAGAAGCGCATCTGCGCATATGAGCTAATATGTATGAATATAAGAATACAAATATACTACATGCAAGTTATCCTTGAAATGATGCATTACCAAATGAGTGGAAGATTGTATACAACCAAAGGTCATAAAAGGTTAATTCAAATACTCCATCGTTGGTGTAGTAGCAATCCTGAGGCAGCATCCTCAATATATGCCTTCTGAACAATGGTGAAAATGTAAATCACTATCGAGTGATTATTAAGTTAGGTTCCCACATTCTAGTGCCAAAAAAGAGAGTAGTTTATAGGACCTCAAATAACCATACTCCAGTGTGCAATATGCTAGCAGGCCCAGGCACCAACCATTTAATCCATATATTGTACTCAATAAGACAGGCTATAAATATTCTATAAAAATCATGAATCGCTTTATAAATAGAGAGGGAAGCATGACAACAATTTCTCCTCTCTTGACCAGATCTTTATAGGTTTGATCTCCTTATCTAAGGAATGCAGTTAGTAGACTTAGTTTATCCAAAGCCAATCAAAATTTATAATGTAAGATGTGTTTATTTGCTAGACAGCACTAAACTTTTGAATTAAAAAGGTAAACGTTATAAATCAAGCAAATTACATCTTCAACCACAAAGACACCTGATGTGGGCAAACCACAAATTTTAGATGTGTGAAGAATTTGGTAACACCTAACAATGATCATACCAAGAATGCCAATAATGTGAAAAGAACAAAAGTAAAAGGCATTCAGTAGGTTATATGATGGTCATAAATGTCAAATGATAGAAGCAGGTGGTTCAAATATAACCATTGCTCTATCAATTCACAGCATGGCGCCATACGTCACTTCCTCCCAACTTTTTTCCACCCAACATTAATGTAAATAGTGACATAGCCCGCTTGTGTAAGGAAAACTCCTCCGTTTAAATAAGAAAATGCGTCACCATTGACCTCCTCCTTAAATCAACAAATTGGACCTTTGTCGCGGATACATGGCTATGAGTAACCGACTAGAATACGACAAATCAAATCCCTGCAATTCTCCAACAAAGTGCAACAGTGTCGTTCTCCAGTTCCCTGCTGTATTGCAACAAATGCATGCCTACTTGTTCCATGCATCATTCGCAATTCACGTTCAAAAAGAGGAGCGCTGAGTTACTTAATCACTAGTGGATAAAAAAATCAGGAGACTATGGCGGGGCGGCGGGGGCGTTCGGGGGGTGTGGCACATCATAAAACTAAACTATCTTCTCTATTTCATTAGCACCCGGGAGATACAACCCAATACAGGACAGCATTAAACAAATCTACCAGTAATCATTCTGTGTTACTAGAAAATAAAATGACTCTAATCATTACATAATAAACAAATGCATAACTAATCAACAGATATGAATCTTTAAAATCGGGTATACAATTAGCATTTCCGTATTACATCATAGAGCATACATAAATATATAAATAGATTGTGGATCTGATGATGATATAGGAGCTGATATAATTAGATGCTCTTAGCCGATCATATCCGGAAAGTATGCGTTATTTTCAGCAGTTACCAACACAAAACCCAAAAACATCATAATAGACTGGTAAATTAAAGTAATTTGTTCTTGAACTAATAATATTATCCATTTGCTATGTTATATTAAATAACAATTCTTCAATTGAAAGTTTCCCAATAATAATAAGCCTTTTACACACAATTAAAATTTTGAGTGACCTTCAATACTGTTATCTCAAAAGCAAATTTAATTTCCTGATCTGTAGAGATGACTGGACCAAAAGAAACAACAATTCAAAATACCAACCTTGATAGGGCGAAGTACAGGAGTAACGGCAGCGCCTGCCTCTCTTCCACATCTCTGCTCACAGACAGCAACGTACTGAAGCAAAATGCCAAAAGATAAAAAACGAAGTAAGTGCTCATCTTTTGTCGTATGCGAATCACAGACTACAAAAATAAGCCAACAACGTGTGTAGTATACATAAATGTTTCAAGCGCAATATTAATGTTTTTTTAAGAAGTAGCTTAATCAAGCCTTCTTAATCATCATCATAATCACATCTGTTAATACCTTAATAAGCTCATTTAGAAACAGACTTTACTTCGTAAAATGTTCAGCAGCATCCCCCTCCCCCCAAAGGAAAAAAAGATCATAGTAAAAAATTTTACCACCATACAGCATACAACATCTGATCAAATAAGCATTTATTTATTCACAATTGAGATCTCTCAAAAGTCATACGAGTAAGTTTTCCTCCCTTGTGGTGCGCCCGTAAACCAAAATAATCCTGAATTTGTGCAGGAGAAAAAAACTCCAATCCAATTTGATGCTAAGGATTTGGGTGGCCATGTTCAAAGCCTTTACCCAGTTCAGTGGTCTGGCCTACAAAAAAATCAAATAAAAGTAAGGTGTAACACAAAGACCGGAAAAAGAATCAACTTAGAAACGGATGTTTTAGGAATAAAACATCTCATATCACACAATGCATTGAAGTCGTCAGCTCATAAAGGTACAAATTCACTCAACTTTCAAAACAACTCGGAACACCTACAACGGCATGCTGAAAAATATTCACCTCACTAAACTGGCAATTGCAATTTCCTCATCAACAGCTTCATTGTTTTGATTCCCGACTTCTCAATTAAAATAAACATTACATGTAATGTTAAACAAAAACGAGAATGAAAAGCCAGCAATCTTTGAAGGATACTTCAAACCGAGAAGGTTAGGAGAAGCCTTGATTCTTAAGCGCCGCATAGTGCAAGCGGCCATTTGTCTAGCTCTGTGTACGGGAAATCTAGAGAGCGGCATGCTCCCATGTACCCACAAGTATATCAAAGAACTGCAAAAATATCTCACCTTATGAGATTCATAACCCTTAGTGAAATATTATAATCAGCGCTGAAGCAGCCGGAATCGAAGCATTCAAAGGGCATAAGAAGAGCTGTCAAACTTCAACCTTTACCTTCTTTTGTCGACCTTCGTGCCGGGCAAGGCAGAGAAGAGGCCGCCTGAGCTCGCCGTTCCGCTTGCCTCCGTTGCCTCGGAGCCGCTGAGCCCTCGAGCTCCTCCTCGCTTCATCTCCTCATCCTCGGCTCGATTGGGGAGGCGAGAGAGCGAGCAGCTGAGGATTTTGAGAGGGGGGAGATCTGGATGGATTCAGAGAAAGAGAGAGGGTTATTTTGGTTGGAATATAGAGTAACCCTTTGTAGATCCAACAAGACTGAACTTATGATCTAGGTTAGTTAAAGCATAGCCTAGGCCCACTTTACCAATAAGACTGATATTTTCAAGACTAGTTTTATTGCACGTGCAATGCACGTGGTAAATTTTTTTATTATTTATTATAAAATTTTAAAATTAATTTTGGGAAATATTTTTTTATTAAATTATTGAACGTAAGCAATTTATCAAACACAAAGACATAAACTAAAGTTTCTATATTTGAACTATAATTTTTCATTTAGTGCTTGATTGGGTGATAGTACACTTGTTGCACTATAACTATCTTGTATTTCTTTCTGTTAGCATCAGCCATAGTGCCTCCGTTCTTCTAGTTTGCATCATTATCAACAAATTTAAGTCTTGTTAACCTGTATAGCCTATTGTTTTGCTTCAAAAGATTGTCACTGTTCTTGTTCATTGAATGGCTTGTCAAGCGAAACAAGCCCTTAAGCACAGATTGAATTGCTCGAGTTGTCTAAACATGCTGTAATTTATCATTAGGTCGCGAAGTTTGGTTGCTTTCCGAATTTATTGTTCTTTTTATCTTTTTCCTTTCTATTGAATAAAAATAAATTTCGCATGATCATCGATCACAACTATACTCGTAGGATTCTTACTGGCTTACAAAGTTTTTGTCTCGTTGCTTCTAGTAGAACAACCAAATATGCGAAAAAGATTGCTGGTGCCATGGAAATAGGCATGTCCA